CGCGGGAGCTCCCGCCTGGGTGGGCCCAGAGCTGGGCCTGGAGGCCGGAACCAGGCCCAGCCTCAGGGAAATGGCGGAAGCGACCGTGCCGAGGGCTCTGGGAGCCCCAGAGGGGAGGGGAAGCCGCCACGCCACACCCCGCCTTTCCCTGCCTTCACACCCCGGGGCGGCTCGGCCACCAGCTTGAGCGGGGATGGAGACAAGATGTCGCCCGGGCTTCAGGCCAAGGCATGGGAGCCTCTCCCTGGCAGGCTGCCCGGCCTGTGTCTTGTCTTCTAATTGCTTGTTTTATCTGCTTAGTGTAAATAAAAGTTGGGGTTTAGGAAGAGGGGTGTAATCCAGCAAGTTCCCTGTGCCAGGCCCTCCCCGTGGCTAAACCGCTACCTGCCTGGAGGTATATCAGTTAATTCCTAGCCCATAGGGAATGCTTCACGGTGGAAAATAAAGCTTAAAATGTGAAGTTAAGACACGCATAAAAAACCTGGCCAGACAAGGCCACTGAAAGACCTAACTTCCTGACAAGGAAATGCGCTTCTATTTTGAATGGGGAGACTGGGATAAAGGATGAAGTAACTTGGGTTTTAACCCTGGGCAGCATCTCTAAAGGCCTCCAGTGGCTTGAACTCAATCTCTCTTACACCACAGACTCCTCAGTTTTAGTACAAATTAACTAAATCAAGTAAGCTTACCCACTTATGGAAAAAAAAGAAAATCCAAAGAAATCCCAACAAGCTGTCTTTTATTTTTCACTGTGACCGCTATCAGCAGACATCAGTCTCCTGGTCCAACCTTCACTTCTTAAAGTGTTTTAAAACACATTGAAACAGGCACATTTCTTAATGTTCTCGAGAATACAACCAGTCAAAATTGAACTCCTGGAGCAGAACCAGAGCCCCACGCACAGTCCCACCATCACACCACGACTGTCCTTGCCCTGCACTCTAAAACTGGTAAGATGGGGCTGCCACCCTCAAAACCAAACAGAATTCCCAGAGCCCTGGGAACTAATGGATAAAAGTGCCTGAAGCTGCACTTCTCACAGAAAAAAAACCTCTGCTCACACTTCCACTGACTGCCACGGCAGTGTCTTCTCATAGATCCCAGACCGCTTAGGACTTAATAAATTAAACCCAGCATACTGATACCCGCCTGGAAAACGATACACGCAGGATGGAAAGCACAATTCACTCTCATCACAGGAGGAAAGGGGGTTTAACAAGCAAGATAACAATTCATACAGCAGACACCTTTCCCAAGACCGAAGGTGCAGCAAGCCCGACAACACCTGCCTCGCCCGGGGAAGTGTTCCAGAAGATATTCCCAGCTCCTGCCACAATCACATTCATACCTGCATTCCAGCTCATTTAAATCCACCATGTGCGCTATACTCTGGAAAAAGATGTGCATCTTTTGGATTAAGTTATTCAGGAATATTCAGATTCAACTTTTACCTTAACCCAAAGGAACTCAGCAGACCTAAAGCTCTGCTGTATCTGCGTAGTTCATCAGCAGAGTAAACTCTGCTTGTCTGAAGGGCAGATGACTGATGTTCTCTGGGATTTGGTCATAAAGATAGTAGTTTTGTTTGGGATTTGCTCTGGGTTGGGCAGAGACACACAACAAAACAACATGTTCCAACAAATAAATGTCCTGTATTATTTACTCTTAACAGTTTGACACAGATTTTTTTATTTCTTTATGTGAATAAAATCTAGTATATTGAATAGATTACTGGAGGTCTATCTACAACTGAAGAAGAAATCTGGCTGACCTGGGCTGCTTCAAAATCAAACATTCACTTGTTTAGTGTATAAAGTATGTGCCAGACAAAGGGTCCATGCAAAGTGTTGCAGGATCCAGAGGGATTATAGTAGTGTATCATACTACCATACTTTTTTATTGTTATAGTGTGTAATACTACTACTGTTATATTTTTAATGTAGTTTTCCTAAAAATAATTTCACCTGAAGAGGATGAGAGGACTTCCCGAATTCAAAAGTTAAACAACCAAGAAAAAAATGTATGATGACTCATATAAATAAATTTTACAGACTCTTCAATCATGTCTTGCATGCAAAGCCAGATTCCTTTCCGGTCACACGAGTACACAAGGTAAATAAGCTTTGCAATTATTAGCAATTATCTCTGAAGTGATTAATTTTCACAGGCAGTATTTTTATGAAACTATACAAATCAGGTTAGCATATATCAGTGCGATAGTTATATTAGTTTTCTCTTTTAATGAAATAAAACTGTTGAATAAACAATTCTGTTCCAGTGCTTATAAATATTAATATAAATCTTGGTCAGCTTTCAAAAGAAAGCTATTTTTCAAAAGATTTATTTGTCCCATAATATATTTAACGAGCAGTTGTACTGTCACTCAAAAGTGCATCAATTATACCTTGATAGAGGCAATTATACACAAAACAAATTATACACCCGTATGATTATCAAGAAGCTTGATAATATTCCCTAGCAGTAATCTTTGCATCGCGTGTTCCTGCACCTCCTGTGCGGCGTGAGATAAATCCAATGTGACAACCTCCGTCGCGGGAGCCACCAGCCAAGCTCTCCTCGTGGGCTGCCTCCCCCTTGCCCTCAACCTCTCCCTAGTGCTCTTCGCTTCTGCCTGTAAAATCCAGATGCAGCAACAAAGGAGAGCAAGGAGCAAGAGCCAGAGCACAGGACTATTGCTGGGTGAGCAGAGGTCTAACTCTGGAAATGCATTCAAATGACATGTTTTGATCCCCTCATGCGTGATCAGCTCAGCTGCTCTAAATCCTGCCTTTCATCCAACAGCACTCACATCCCTACGCCATACAGACTCCCACTTATTGCTCAGCTGATGTCTTATTCTCCCCAGACACCCTCTTGCTATCCACTCAGGAAAAGAAAAACATTCTTCTATCCATGTGGGACCAGAAACTAGAGAGGTTCAGAGGTGATGGCTCTACCGTCAGTCACACCCTCAGACCAAGGTGCTGTAGCCCAGTATCCTGCCTCCAGAAACACCTGGGAGAGGATGCTTCATGAGAGGATATCTCACAAATTTCTCAGATATTGCCCTCAACAAGATGACAAATACCTTTTTTGAGCATCACGGCTTCACGCCCACGTTAAAACAGCACAAAACAGTGCTCATAAGGAAGTCCATGTCGTCACCTCGTGGGTGCAGGTATTTCTTCCTGCGGTCACGTTTGATGCCACAAATGAGGTCAGAGAAGGGGCCCGCTGCGAGCACAGGACGGAGGTGACGGGTGCAAGGAGGGAGGGACAGTGCCCCCCGTGCTCTGGGCCTGGGGCTGCATAAGCCACCCGGCCATTGCATCGCCTGCGTGGGCAGGAGCTCAGCTCTCCCCTGCAAACTCATTCCCCAGGCACTGGAATTGGACCAAAAAAAAAAAAGCTATTCTGGAGGAACATCCAGTGGAGAGTTCTTCTAGAATAACTCTTTCTGTGTAATGATTAAAAATACCTGAATTTAAAATGTAGGCAAACTAGTCTCTCAATCCCACATCTGTCAGGCACTTGGGTTTAGCGTAAGGCTGTATAACACAGATAACTGAGGTTTTAATCTCCAAAATAATGCCACTTTCAAGGTGAAAACCTTAGTTAGGGAGCCTCTGGGGGAACCCTTGCTCGTGCCTTTGCCAGGCAGTCTTGGCTATCGGTCTAAACTGATGACAAGGACATCTGTGTCACCAGATGACCAGAGTTATCCACGTTCACTTGCCTCCCCGATTCCTCCCTAAGGCAGACCTGATGAATGCCTATTGCTTTGGAAAGTATTAGCACTTATCTCCCTTTTACAGAAAAAAAAGTTAAGATTATTTTAAATATTTCTCATGATGAAATAGTAACTTGATTAAAAGCGTTTCATAATCTGTTCCCAGCTTTAAAGCTATATGTACAAAAACCAGTGCAATACGTTTCACTCTTGAGAAAATGTTCAATTTTCTCAGAGAGCATAGGAAAATAAACTCCTCCTCATCCATACCATACACATACCGTTTTGAGTTTCTCCCATGGAGCAGCATAAACCCTATCTAGACCCAAAGCTTAATGCCCGTGGGGTTTTTCTCTCTGCAGAAGCTCTGGCATGAAGTGCAAGGACACGGAGCAGAGCCCAATGACAGCCAGGCTCACGGCCGTGCCGATGCCCATCGCCCCGAGGGTCTGGAGGGAGGAGGGAAGTAGCGAGGGGGAAAGCAGCTGATCGTGGCGCTCGGCCATGTCCAATGTGATGGCCTCCATCTGGAAGTGTGTGCCGATGATCCCACAGACGTGGAAAACTTGGTGGCTGTGCCCTGCAACAAAGCCAAAAGGCTCAGCAGACCTTCTGCATAGCATCCATTGCCTCTGGGCAATCACATTTTTAAATATTTATTTTACTAATTTCTGTGGCTTTTACTGCTGCACCACCAGAGCGCAGAGATCTTCCTTTCCAAAATGCATCTGGCTGTAATGGAAGCGAATTCCTCACTGCTGCAGTCCTGGCACATGTGATGTGCTGAGGAGCACTGTGCTAGTGCACGGCGTGCTGGGGAGAGCAGGAAAAACCCCAATGCTTGCGCCAGGGAAGGTTTAGACTAAATATTAGGAAGCATTTCTCTAAGAAGGGGTTGTTAGGCATTGGAATAGACTGCCCAGGGAGGTGGTGGAGTCCCCATCCCGGGAGGGGTTGAAGAGTCGGGTTGACCCAGTGCTGAGGGATCTGGTGGAGTTGAGAACGGTCAGGGTGAGGTTGATGGTTGGGCTGGATGATCTTCAAGGGCTTTTCCAACTGAGATGATTCTGGGATTCTGTGACTGCCATCCAGTCTCCTTGGTGTGGCTGCTGTGACATGGCACTGTATAGCACCACTGTGCTACAGGTGAGGTTTTTTCTATGAGAAATGAGTGCTCTGAGGTCACAAAACCCTCTGTGAAACATTTTGAAAACAGCATGCTTCCAGAGCTGTTCCCACTTCACCTAGGCAGGACTGCTGTATCTCAAACGTAAAACTACAATTTCCAGCAGGGAATATATTATAACCCCTGGGAGTTGCCCATGCATTAACGTGCTTTCTTCCTGAAAATAATGAGAAAACAATGCCAGATCACCCTTTTGGCACTTACCAATATAATCAAAGTGTCCTGGCGCAAGTCTCTCTGGCAGATGGCTCGCGAAGATGAAGCAAGTGAGGAAGGCAAAGGCAGTGTGCTTGTAGTGGACCAGGATGGCAGCCTCCGTGCAGCTCTCCGCCGCGCACAGGTAGAACTGCAGCAGCAGAGACGTGTCCGCACAGGGGAAGGAAAGAGGGGAACAACATGTTTCTAAAGGAGGCAGATCTGTTCCCTGAGCCCCCAGCGTCTCTGGCTGCCCATCACCCGACCCGGCACTGAAGGACCCAGGGCTGTCGCCTCCATTTTGTGCAAATCCCAGCCCCGCACCTCCTGTCCTTACACCTCACTGCAGCAAAATTCCCATCCTGCTCCAGTTTAGGAACTGGAGAACTTGCATCTTTCAAAGGCAGTAACTTTCCAGCAAGGGCAAAGTTTGAGCACGGCGCTTTGAAGTGGAAAGAATCTGCCTATCAATAGGTGCAGGAAAAAATAACCACATCTTTTCCTGCCGGAGTTTGTTTTCCTTGAAACAAACAAAAAAAAGGCAGCATATTTTCCCAAATATTTTCAGACTAAGATGAAGCAGCTGATATTTCCAACCCCACAGCAAACAAATGTCTTGGTGCTGTGAAGACGGGCTGTGCGTACCCTGTAGAAGAGAGGGATGCTGTCAAAGAGGTATGGGTACACGAAGGCCAGGGTGCGGGAAGCCTTGCTGAACCGGGGCCGCTCTGCCTCCAGAAACCTAGAAGAAAACAGAGAAGGTATTTCCTGTGGCCCAGCACGGCCCATGAGCCAATGTCAGCACTGGAGTTGTTTGCTGGGTGTGAATTGCACTGTTTCAGCTGCACCTACAGCCTCCCACAGATGACTCTGAATTCAGCCAGAGCGGGTGCAGGTTTTCCCTGCTGAGGGTTTGAAATCTGCAGCCACCCTCAGCTCCAGTGGCTGAATCTACCCTGGCTGAACCCTGAACTGGGCAAGGAAGGATTTAGGGGCCACCCTCTCCTCTTCTTCTCTTGTATCAGCACTAGCGTGGCCAGCAGGGACAGGGAAGGGATCTCACCCCTGTACTCGGCACTGGTGAGGCTGCACCTCAATTCCTGGGTTCAGTTTTGGCCCCTCACTACAAAAAGGCCATTGAATGACTCAAGCGTGTCCAGAGAAGGGCAACCGAGCTGGTGCAGGGTCTGGAGCACAGGTTGTACGAGGAGCGGCTGAGGGAACTGGGAGGGTTCAGTCTGGAGAAGAGGAGGCTGAGGGGAGACCTCATCGCCCTCTACAGCTCCCTGAAAGGAGGGTGCAGAGAGGGGGGATGAGTCTCTTGAACCAAGGAACAAGCGACAGGACAAGAGGGAATGGCCTCAAGCTGCGCCAGGGCAGGGTCAGACTGGCTCTTAGGAAGTATTTCTTTGCAGAAGGGGTTGTTGGGCGTTGGAATGGGCTGCCCAGGGCAGGGGGGGAGTCCCCATCCCTGGAGGGGTTGAAGAGTCGGGTTGACCCAGCGCTGAGGGATCTGGTGGAGTTGAGAATGGTCAGTGTTATGTTAATGGTTGGACTGGATGACCTTAAAGGGCTTTTCTAACTGAGATGATTCTGTGATTCTGTGACTGTGCTCGGGCTCTTGCAGGTGCATTTCTGCAGCTCTGAAAACAGTCTTTTTTACACTGCCCTGGCGTGGCTGATTTTGCTTTTTTACCATTGCTCGTTAGCTATTACCTGTCAGCAGCTAGGAACGGAGCTGTTTTTTAAACAGCTGCTGTCCCTGCAACTGTTTTTAACTGAGTTTTCACTCTTGGTTTTGAATCCAAGCTTTCTGAGCACAGCAATCAGGGAGAACACATCTGCCTTTGCTTGGAAGGCTTTGTAGGTAGCGCGGTGTTCAGGCTGTGATCGTCACTGTTTGTTAATTAAGCTATATTGCAGCTTATGTCTGAAAAGCATGAAATGGCCCAGCATCCTTCTTTTTTACATCCTGCCAAGACTTTGCGATTGTCATTTCAGAGAATGTGTGGAAAGAGTTACTGAAATCACAAACTAAATTAATTAAACAAGTTACTTTTTAACAACATCACCGTTATAATGGAAGAAGCAGCCTGTTGGTGATAATCATACCATGTATGAGGAGGAAAGTGTGTATCTGGACAGGGAATAATATTCTGCAGTTTGTTTCCCAGGAAATCACACTGCTGAAATCACAGAATAATTGACCACCCAGGTCCCCCCAAAAAACCTTCCAAAAACCCGGAGCTGGGTCTCGAGCTCTGTGCTGGGCCCCACATCTGCTCCTGCCGCACGGGGAGCACAACCCAAACGAACCCTGGAGACAGAGAGCATGGGGGAGCCTCAGAGACGCCCAGCAGCACCCTGCCCGCAGAGACCGGCATGGTCAGGGCTCACCCCACTCCAAGCCCTGCCCCTCCAGCCGTGGGGGCAGGTGGGGGGCAGTGGGGTGGGTGTCAAGATGCTCCCTACCATGGGGAGGACTCCAGTCGTGAGCCCATCACCCTGCCTCCCGCCACAGCCGTGGGAGCTCCAGACCAGGAACAGAGGACCTCTCCCTCCAGTCCCTCCCTGCTGGGAAAGACCAACTTTTGTAGGGTTTTAGCCCGATAGGGAAACAGAGACTAATTTAAGCAGAATTACACCAGACCTGTCTGCAAAGCAGAAGGGCTCTATCAATATGACCCAAAATATGGGTTGAAACTCTGACAATTCAACATCTGCTCATGAGCCACTAACTACACAAGGGCTTTCACCTTGCTTCCCCTTGGTTTGGCCTGCCACCATGGCTTGTAGCTTGCTCCAAAGACATCACAACAATGCTGAAGATGTCTCCTGCTCTGTTTTCTCCTGAATTTCTGCACGATTGTTGCTGTATTTTCCTACCATGGTGTCCCCCACCCAGTGATGTGCTCCCATTCCTGCTCACCCACTGCTGCTGGGTGCTGCGCTCACCCTCACCCCACATCTTCCCACTCCTTCAGCCACATACCGACCCAACCTGTGCAGATCTGCTGCCAAAATAGAGCCCCTCTATTGTAGCCTGGGTGCCTGGTAACTTGGGGACAGTGTCCTAGTCAGACGACAGGTGAGAGGTAGCAGAGCTCAAGTGTACTCTGTTCTCATCCTGAAAAGCCCATACAGGTTTTTCTGCTTTCATGGGGATGCCTGCAGGGAGATGCCAGATCCTCCAGCATGAAAGAAACCTTTTGTGTGGCTGCTCATCCTGTGCTGGGGGAGGAATGCAGTTGGACGTTCTCCATATCAGGGTGACAAGGGGTTTTAGCGTCACGTAAAGGATAAACACACCTATTTCAGTCCATCTGCACGTGTTTCCCTGTTTGGCAATTCCATGTTCCTAGGGCACAGGATGCAAAAACCAACCAAACAAAAATTCTTACTGTTGACTCATCAACCAGCCGTCTAGGATTGGGAAATTTTCCTGAGAAGTTGATGAAATTTGGTACAGCAGCTTAGCAAAACCCCTTTCTTCAGACGTCCTGCTGCAAGTCCTTGTCTTCATCATGTCACTGCATCCTCCTCTGCATCAACCTGTACTCCTGCTGACCTTCATGGGGTGGCTGCCGGAGGCTGAGCCACGGTGTTGGGCCCCGGTTCAGCAGCTCAGCCGGGCTCAGGAGCTCTTCCCTCCTCTGAACCTCTCTGAAACGGCCAGCATGCTGCTCGCCCCTCTCTCGAGTCACCCCCATCCCTGGTGGTGTCACATGCACCCAGGGCCACCAGCAGCCATGGGCCCTCCCAGCTCCTCGAGGCAGCCCTACCCAAGGCACGGTGCCGGTGCCAAGCCCTCGGTGAGCTGGGCAGGAGTGGGAGTGCCCGGGCAGGTCCCTTCCGAGCTTGGTAGCATCACCTCCCATTGCACAACTGGTTTTCAGCTCCGTTCCCATTCAACCCTCCTGCCTCGGAAGGACCTTTTCGCTGCTGTGACTCAGCCAAGGGTGATGCTGAGGCAAATGCCATCGGTGAGCAGCACCCTGTGGTAGGAAATGGGGGTGGCTCAGGCACTGGGGGCCTCGGGGGGGCTTCCTCCATCCCCAACCCACCCGGCACAAGCCACTTCCACAACCCAGGTAAGCACCGTGGCCGAGGTGGGTGCAAAACCAGTTTCCCCACGCAGCTGAGATGCTGCCACACCTGAGGCATGCGGAGGGGCACAGGGCGAGAGCAGCAGCCGTGGTGGGGATGCTGGCAGCCTGGTGTGCCAGGGCACTGGCCCCGTGGCTCATGCAAGCCCCAACTGTGAGCCGGCATGTGCAGGGGCTCCTCTCACCACCGTGGGGGAAACCAGCAGCACTGCTGGCCCACACTGGTATGGTGTATTCAGGATTCCTGCTCAGCCAGGGATGTTTTGTTGATTTTTTTTTTATTTTTAAGCCTACATTTGATGGATTTCCTACTTCTCTAATGGAAATTACTGAGACAACAGGAATTGCTATTCTATGCCATAGGGATAGTTGCATGTTTTTCACATAACTGTACTTACAGTTTTGTAGTAGAGAGAGGCTGACAATTAAATTTGCAGATCAATAATTTTTTTAAACAATCCAAATTAGGCTGGAACTGATCTCAAGTTGCTGATATTTCCTAAGTGTTATCCTAAGATTAGCACATGGTCAGTGAACTTCGTTTGCTAAGCCCATCTAATGAGACAATAAAGAGACGCACAAGACAAAAATAAGAGGGGGAAAGAGACAAAAAGAAAGAGAAAGAAATGAAGAATATAAGGAAAAAATACCAAGTCCCAACTGGCATCATCCACCAAGAGAGATCCTTGAGTTTGCAGCACTGTTCAGTGATACCAAGAACAGATATTCCTCCCCAGGGAGTTACTCCAGTGTGTAACCCACACCAAAATACGAGTAAATCCTCCCATACCCAACACACTTAAGTAAGGCAAATTTGCAGGATCTGTAAGGAATATTGAGCACTTAGTGCTCTCCCTCTCAGGAGGAGGGGAGATGTGGTGACACTGAGCTGCATCCCACCCTGCAGCAGCCCCTCTCTTGCAGCTGGGCACCCTGATTTCATCCCGCCAGGGCATGGGAGCATCTTCCTCCCAGCCAAGGCAGCAGCAAAGACACACAGCCCTGTGCTGGGGGTGGGTCCTGGGCAGGGAAAGGCCCCCCAGGGTTATGTGATGCTGTGACAAGCCAAAGACACCCCAAAATACAAAGACACCCTAAAACAGAAGGAAGGAAGGAGTAATGCCAAACGATTCTTCATGCTGCTTGAGGACATGGGAATTGTACGTTTCGCAAAGCAAACTGCTTGTTCTCGCAGCGAGACACGAGTGCTTTACAAACAAAGCCTTCGGGGAGGTGTCTACCATGAATTAAATCCAAACCAGTCCAGCTGGAGATCTAGCACGGCGTGGAGTGCTGGAAATCAGCTGAGCAGTTTATACATTTTGAGTTATTCCAAACAAATCGTCTAATGCCGCTCAGGAACAAAATACCGCGCACGCAACACTGTCCATGCTTTAAAAATTATGCAACCGGTTGCAAGGATGGTGAGGTTCCTCCTCCGCAAATCTGTTGTATGCACGTAGAAACGCACATGTAGGAACACGCACATAAACACACGCACACACAAATATAAGCACACACGTAGCACTCGGGCTTGCACATGCGTTTGGCAGGACCATGCTTATGTTTAAACATGCTTAAATGTTGGGGTCCCTAGACACCCCCCCCTTTTTTTTCAGGTTATGTTAGAAAAACAACAGGCATGGCAAGGTGCTGGAGGTGGGCACCTTCCTGCCAGGCATGCGCTGCACAAAATCACCCCTTCAACTTTCACAGATTAACACTACTTCAGTTGTTTTGGATTTTTGATCATCAGACTCTCCTAGCACCCACATGCAATGTGTTTCCTAAACCAAAATTCCTTTTCTTCCCCTTCCTGAGCTTAAGGCTCATACTGTTATGGTACGGCCCGTAATTGAAAAGTTTGGTTCATAAAACTAATTAATGATTCTGCTGTAGCAGCCACAGCAGATAAAGCAGCAGCTTACCTGGAATAGCAGGACAGACTGGTGCTAACGACGGTGTTCAGCACTGCGATGGGGACATAGCAGCGGTGGAAGGGGCTGTTGAGCCATTCCCTGGGGAAGACGTATGCCGAGTAGGCCAGCGCCGACCCTGGAAGCACAAGAGGTGCCCGGTTGGTGCCAGGCCCCGCCGGGAGCCTCCGCTTCCTCCTGGGCGCAGCCGTGAATTGGCACTCAGGTGCTCTCGGGAGAGGAGCTGTGAGTTGAGGTGGAGGAGCAGCTGAGTAGCTCAGGGGAGCGGGAGGCAGACACCCTGATTGCTGGCTCCTGCAGACACCCTTCCGTGAGGAGCCAGCGACATGCAAAGACCCCAGCTGCTGCTGCTTCCTCCGCAGCGAGGCACCACCAGCTTCACTGACCACATTTCTCCTTAACATGCTTTGTTTTGTAACTTATTCTATTTACTAAAAATCCCAAAGAGTGTCACACAGCCAGGCCTCCATCCCAGGGCTGCTCCATACAAAACCAAGCCCCAAATTATTTGTGGCGGTGTCAGAGATGCCTCACAGCCCCTCCCTAGCACCAGGCTGTGGGGAGGAGGAAGAGGAGTGGAGCAACTCCAGGATGTCAGCTCTTGTCCCGTCTGAGCACCAGGGGCTCAGCCCTGTCCCTGATGCCTCGCTTGCCTCCAGGGGAGCACTGGGGACCGGCACCCTAGTGAAACCTCTGCAGAGGTGCCCGCCCTTACCCAAGCTGTACATGCTGAGAGCCGCGTAGTCGAAGAAGTAGCAGATGTGCCGGGCGCGGGTGGACATGGTGCTGAAGGTGTGGGCACAGCTGGAGGCAAGGGGGTAGATGCAGCAGGTCAGCAGGTAGGCAAGGAGAGGCCAGGCATGAGGGTCCTCCGGGCCCCCCGGCCCCTGCAGCTGCCCCACCAGGGTCCACACGAAGTACCTGCGAGGAGGAGGAGGGTGAGCGTTGCACCCTGGGGTGTCCCTGTCCCCTCTTCTCCCACCACAGCAACCCGCCGCCTCCTCCCATGGACGCTGAAGGCACAAGGGCACAGTACCTACCAGGCAGGCACAAAATGCGTCCAGATATTTAGGGTCTCGTTCGTCATTTGGAAGACGCTGAGGAGACAATCAGCTGCTGAGCTTCGGGGGGGGCGATACCCGAAGAGGATCCCCTGCTCCTGGTACCCCTGCAAGGCAAGGACTGGCACTGGGGGCAGGTGGAGGAGGAGCAAGGACAAGTCAGGGAAGAAGGAAGGAAGGTTGCCCATGATTCAGGACCCAGGACCCTGCTGAAAGGATAGAGCTGTGCCCCCCTGCCCTGTGGGACTGAGCACTGCCCTGGGCTGGGGGACAGTCACCCCAGCATGCTGCTCTCACTTGTCACCTCCCCAAACCCCAGGCATAGGGAAGAAAAACTCCTCTCTGACCTTGGGAACTTGGTTGATGCTGAGCAGCCGGGGTAACTTGAGGCTCAGCATCATGTGGGTCGGGGCTCCAGCTCCGAGGGATGTTTTTGGCTCGGTATGAGCCCTGGTGGTGCCTCACACTCGACCTGGCTGCATCTCACACCCCACAGGGGAAGTAAGGCGATGGGGCCAGGGCTGTCCCGTGATGGCCGAAGCGATGCTCAGGAACGGGCAGCCTGGGGGAGACAAGGATTCATGGGGACGTGGCACAGTGTCCCAAACCCACACGTGACAAACGCTTCTGGGGGGGCTCCCATGGGATGGGGAGGGGAGATGGCATGTGTCACTGCAGGGGATGTTGGAATCCCTCCCTCCCACCCGCACCCCGAAGGGGCAGGGGGAGAAGGACAGCGTGTCCCTGTCCCCACTGCCCAGAGGGACTGAACCTCCCTGTTGTCATCCCAGGAACAGCACCCACATCCCTGGAGCACTTGAGGTTGTAGAGAAACCCCTGGGCATGGGCTGGGGGGCTGCAGGGTGTAGGCAGGTCCCCCCGGGGAGGATACAAGGTCCCTGTGGAACATCCCAGGCCACGATGCAGCCCCAACATCTCCATCTCTTACCCGCCGACGGCTTCAGCAGTGCCACCTCTCCCCTGCTCCGCCTCCACCTCCGGTCTGTGAAATAAAGGTGAAAAAAATAAAATTATTATCTCCTGCAAGGGATGGCCTGGCCTGAGAGAAGCCAGGTGAGAAGGGAGCCCAAGACCACGCTTGTGAACTCAGCCTCCTGAGAGGCCGACAGCTGCTCCAGCCATCCCATCATGTCCCACCAGGACACATCAAGCTTCAGCCATCAGCATGCCTTGCCCAGGACTTGCCAGTCCCGAATAAAGCCCTCTGCAGCCCTTTTCTGGCTGCTGGTGTTGCCCTTCATCTGCCCCTGCTCTTCCTCCTCGTCCATAATCTACCTCTCAGCGTGGCCCAGCAGCTCCGGTGCAAACCGACACAGGCAAAATGCTGTGGGCCACCGTGTGCGGGGAGTGCCCGGAGAGAGGGAGGTGGCTGGGAGGTGGTTAGCAGGAGGGAAAAAATTAACGAGGCAAGAGAGCAATAAACCCAGCATAAAATAAAATTGGAAAGGCCTTTAGTTAAAGATTAGACTTGAATCAGGAGCTTTTCCTTGGGTGTTGTGCCACAGGTGTGCTGCCCCAAAGCTACACACAGCCTGCAGCCCCCCAGAATCCCCCCGGGATCCCCCCGGTATCCCCACACTCCTCCGTGGTGGAAAAGGGACCTGACTCCTGCGGTGGCCTCCAGAGCCAGCTGGAGGGCAGGGGGTGAGGGCAGGGAGCGAGGGAAGGGAGCGAGGGCAGGGGGTGAGGGCAGGGAGCGAGGGCTGCCGTTGGTTATTTGCATGCTCCAGAAATCAAGGGCAGCCTGGCCCTGCGTGCTGCCCTTGCCTGCTCCCGCCGCACGCCCGGTACAAACACAGACAAGGGCGACAATGGGACGGGACACAACCCATCTCCCCTATCCTGGTGAAGCTGAGGAAGCCGCCCAGGCTCTTCCCAGCACGGTGCAGAAGCCCGGTTTTCAAAGAACCCTTGGACGGGAGCCATGATCCTGGTGCTCTCTGCACCCAGGAAAACTGTGTGTGACACAGGGACCCCGGCTCCCACACTCCCCGCACCCCGCTGCCTCCGCAGCAGCACCCGAGCAGCCCCAGGCCTGGGCTTACCCACGAACTCGTATTTTTTAAGAGCAAAATGAGTCACTGGAGCTGCGGGGCGCAGCACCAGCCCGGGCACACCCTGCGGTCCCGTGTTTTCCTCCTCCTTTGGCTGATTTTTTCCACCCGGGGAGCGGCTCTGAGGGATGGGGGCACATCACAGCCGCGGCCGCTGCAAACAGCAAGTAATGAACTCTGCAGGGTCACCCAGCTAGCTGCAAACACACCTCTTCCTCCTCCTTCTCCTCCTCATCCCCCACGGCCACACACCAAGCCCCGGGGGGACGTCAGGCACCGCAGGCTGCAGGTCCAGCCCCGGGAGCCTTTTTTTTTTTTTTTGCCAAGTGCACCCGGGGAAGGTTCCTGCCTGGCACGGGTTTTCCCTGTCAAAGGCTGTGGTTTGTCACTGATGAGAGGAGCCCCGACACGTCCCCCGTCACCCCATCACCCCTTCACCCTGTCACCCTCCAGACTTGGCTTCAGTGAGCACGGAGCGTGGCTTCAGCAGCTCTCCCGCGGCACAAGCTCTCCCCACCATACCCCCACCTCTTTCCACGGAGGGAAAAAATATTTTAGCTGTTAATTATTAACTTTCACGACTTTCTTACGGCGGCGCAAGGAGAGTGACTCCTTGAAGGGTACAGCTAGTGGCCGGGCTCCTCTGGGTGCTCAGCACCAGCGTCAGCAGCACAGGACATGCCAAGACCTTTTCCAGCAGAACAACAGAGGCTTTGTAGGAGGTTGTTATTGCTGCGGGTGGCTGCTGGTATCTGCTGGGGATCGCAGACGAGCAGGCAGCTCCGAGCACGCATGTAAGCTTAAGGCTTTCCCATCATCAGCGCGTCTCAGGCACGTGTCTGAGCCCTTTGCCAGCCCCAGCGCTTTCACCCGTCCTCCTCGGGGCACGGCCGCCTCTCAGTGCCCCGTCCCACTCTTAAAACGCAGCCGAGTGAAACTTCCATAAATTCTGCGAACAACCAGCGTGGCCACGACCTGCTGATGCCGTCGGAGGGCAGGGAAAAGCATCGCACTGCCGGCCCCCGGCACACACAGCTCCTTCCCACCTTCATCTTTTGGCGGGCAAGCTCACGCCGTGCAAAGCCTCGGCCTCTCCGGGGCAGCGTGAAAAGCAGCAAAAACGACTGAGAAAGGGAGCAAAAAAGCAGAGCAGCTGGTACTTACGGCGCTGCTCCCGGGAGTGGGGCTGGGTCGGATGCTGCGTTATCGCCGGCGCTGGCTCAGGACGACCGCGTTACTCATCTGTGTACAAACACAGCCCACATGGCTGAGCCACGCTGGAAGCCCGGCCGGGGCGTAGGCAGCCGAGGGAGCGGGCTGGGGCAGGTTTGCCAAAGCCGGCAGCCCGGCAGGAAGGACAAGGGAGGATTTGCCAAAAGCCTGACTCTCTGCCGGCACCCGGCGGGACGGTCCCCGCACCCCGGCTGGGCTCGGGAGGGGGAAGGACGCGGAGGAGGTCAGCCCCGCCGGCTGCTTTCCCAGATTAGGAGCACATTAATTCTGGCTCGTCTTTTAGTAGAACAGGAAAAAGGCAGCAAAATAAAACCGGAAATAACTGTGGCCAAACGCTCAGATTGTGCTCTGGATTAGCTTCAGCCGGGCTGCAAGGAAGTGGAGTAAGGGCAGGAAAAAATATGAACTCACAGACCTCCCTGTGCATCTTCAGCTCCCAGGTCCCTCTGCTTTAGCACCGGAAAACACCCGAAACTTGTTTAACTGTCTCCGAGGACACTGTAAAGTTAAAACCCTCCTGTAGATGAAGCGGGAGCTGCTCCCGAACTGGAGGTTTCTTACATCATTCCTGGCTGGCTGGAGGATCACAGCCGGCCGGGCAACAGGGTCCCCTCGGCCACCGGCTCTCCCCACGCCTGCGCCGGCTGCAGAACCCAGAGCGTTTCCCCTTCTCCTCCCCGACAAAGCCTCTGGTGTTACTGCAGCCGTTGGTAACGCGTTTCACAATATTTGAATCGAGCGGCAGATTGAGGAGTGCGAGTGGCTGGGGAGGGAGGCGCGGACGTCGCTGCTCGTTATTAAGGAGCTGGAAGCACTAGAGCCCGGCGTAACGCCCAGCTCGCAGGTAGCGGGGAGAAGCAATAAGGGGCATCTGAAATCAGGGCTGGTGAACATGCAGCAGCATTTTAACGGCGAGGGAAAGTCTCTTGATAGCCATTTGGGGGGGGGGGGGG